GAGAGAGAGAGAGAGAGAGAGAGAGAGAGATGCTGTATTTAATTGTTTTTGCCCTTTTTTATTTATTTTAGCTCAAATAATCTCATACTTCATACTACTAAATTATGTCTTACAAAAGTTAGATTTACTCTTGCTTTGGTTCAAAAGGTTCAAAACTCCACAGCTGGATCTCCTGTTGTTGTCGCTCTGCACTTCCATTGATTTTAAAACCTTGCTGCTTGCATTTAAAGCCTTCAAAGGCCTCAGTTAGGCAACTCAGACTTATTGACCTGGTATGTACTCTGCTGACCATCAAAATCAACAAATAGTGACCTGAAAACTATTCAGATGTCACAGATTGAGACAGAGGGAGATGCTTCTCTGTTCTGTCTTTGTGGGGAAACTCTCTGCTCACTCAGCACATTCATGTCTGTGGTTTTGAATTTGTCCTTAAAACCCTAAAAGTATTCAAAAGGTCACAAGAGATTTCAGCGAGGGGAAAAATCAGAGTTTAAAATCTTATTTTTTTTACGTACAAAGCTCTTAACATCCAAGTTATATTAAAGATCTTCTTGTTCCATATTTTCACCAACAGAGCAGTTTATTCAGGCAGCAGGTTTACTTGTGGTTCCTAAAGTTTCTAAAAGTAGAATAGGAGGTGGAGCTTGCAGTTATCAGGCTCCTCCCCAGTTTTTGTTTTAGTAGGCTTAAGATTTTCCTTTAAAATCCTATAGGGTTGGCTAAGCTCTCCTATAGTAAAAAAAAAACTGCAAACTTTCAGCCATATTTAATAATTTCAAACGTGCTGCTGAACATTATTAAAAAAGTATGTGACCTCGTGCTTGACATAGTAATTTCTGCTTTTTGTTGCCGTACAAGAAATACTCATCATATTCTTGCTGGATATTTTTGCACCAATTGCCATATTATTCCTCCCTCTCTTCATCCACATCTGCACGCTTGGCTCTGTGTCATGATATTATCAACACAGTTTACGCTCTCATTTTCTGAGCCTAAATATTATGACCTCTTGACGTACAAGGAGCTGCAAACACAAGAGAAAAGGCAAACCTGCGTACATGAAGGCCATCCTTTGAAGCCTTATTCCGAGATATGCAACCCACAATACATGCGAGCAACAAATACAGCACAGTTTAAATGTAAGCAAAGGCTCGCACACATATGCGCCTGAGGCAGGATCTCAGGAACACCCAACAAATGAGACAGTTTACAGGAGTCCTTCCTGTCTTCAGTCTCAAAGACATCCCTGACTGAGCCTCAGGAAGACTCTGATTAGCTCCAATTCACAAACGGACCCCTCCCTCCTTATCCTCTTACATGCTTCAGCCCGCTTTGTTCTTCTGCTAACAGAAAGTGTTCTGATGAAAATCCATGTTTTCATTTTTGAGCCTTTACGCAGTTTCCTCTCTGCCCTGTGTTTTTTTTTGTTTCTTTTTTTCGACAAGCTGTGTGTACTAGCTGTGGAAGTCCATGCTAATGTGTTTTTCCTCTCCCTATCGCTTTAATTTCCTTCACAAGTGGATAGGCAGGAAGAATGCATCACCAGTGTTTTTATTTTATTTTTACAAATTTGGATAAAAATGTAAAAAGGAAAACATCCAATTAAGACAAACCCTGCCTCCCAGACAAATGAATAGCTTGACCTAAATCAACTTTGTTTGAAGCACTGAAACTTAGGGTCTAGGCATAAATAGTAATCAAGAACAGGACTTTTCTTTTCTTTTCTTTTCTTTTCTTTTCTTTTCTTTTCTTTCCTTTCCTTTTCTTTTCTTTTTTCTTTGTGATTTTGGAGGCTTAATTCCAACAATCAACGAGAAAAAAAGCTAAAAAATCCTGGGAAATTTGTTGCAGGAACAAAATTTCCTCAACATGAAGGAGTGCATGATGTCTGTTAGCAGTAAAGTAAACATTATAGGAGAATAATTCTAATGTTGAGACCAAAACGGTGATACAAATCTTGGTGGTTTTTTTTTTTGTTTTGTTACAAGTCGTAATATGTTCCTCCACTTCTTATCAAGACTTTCACTCCATTGTAAAATATTGACTGATAAACTGCTTTCCACAGAATTTTGTGGCATCATTACTTTGTAGCACCAGTTGGGAAGTAAACAGACGGTTGTTGGGAAGCTAAAATTTGTGAATTTCAGTTGATGCAAACTATTGGGACACACTTTACAGTAAAGACCAAAAACAATCAGCACAAAACATGAAAAACAACTGAGCTGACTCATTTGTAAATGCCTCTGTTGTTCCAGATGTGTGTCAGTGACTAAAAGCAGGAGGAAACTCTGAGTAAAATCAAAATCAAAAAATTAATGTGAAGTCTCTGGTTGGGATGTGATGCAAACTCAGTAGTTTTGAGTGTTAAGCTCCACCACTTGTCCCCTCCCTCCTTATACAATTTATTTCCTGATAAAAGTATTACTGGAAATCTGGCAAAATAAAAACGCTGCAGAAGTTGCCTTTTAAATCCATTAGCTGACAACAAAACGAGAAATCTGCTTTTGTAAATAAAAATCATTAGCCAAATAGTTCATGTATTTCTAAAAGTCTGAAAATCTTACATGCTTTTAGATGTCAAAAGGGTTGATGGTTCAATCACAGCTTCTCCCTCCACATGTCAGGCTCCAGTAAACTCTTAAAGGGATCCCCGATTAGTTGTAACATTAGACTTTATTTGATAAACATTTATTTTAACTGTAAAATAAAGACTGTAAAAATACTGTAGGATGTTTAGTTTTTATAATTTTTAAACTAAAAGTTAATATAAACGGATAGGGCCATTTTATTTACATGCAAAGCATTCTGGGTAAATGATGACGTGGAAAGGTCATCGGTGCAACGCTGCTAGCGAGCTATACCTACCCTGAAGGTTGATCTTGGACAATATCTGATGATCGACTCTTTTAAATGAAACCAGAGAGCATTGACAGAGAGAAGAAGGTAGAAATGACTCAGCCTGTAACTGAAAATATGGATGGAGGACCTCAGTTTAGCTTGTTGAGCTAGCACTGAGCTAATACATAAGGCCATATAGCATCACTGCTAGCACAAAGGCTAACAGGCTAAGCTGAGGTTCTTCTTCCATGAAGCAGCTCTGTTGTCCTCCATCTATATTTTCAGTTACAGGCTGAGTCATTTCTACCTTCTCCTCTCTGTCAACGCTCTCTG